TATATTCACATTTCTCTTCATCTTCCAAGGAGATCTCAAACGGAGGTTTCATTTAATTTATCATCATTGTATTATTTTTATTTTTTTCTTCCTTGAAATTGTCCTCCAAGTCAATGCTGATAATTGGACTCTTTCATTCAAGAACCTTATAATTTCTTCCTCGAACTTGTCCGCGAACTTGACCTCAGATGTGAGTTCTGGAAGAATTTTCACAATCTCATTTTAAAGGAGCGGTGGGATATTGTTGAACTGGAACTAGATGGTCTTGATATTGCAAAATTTTTGAACTCTTTAATTTATTTGAGATAACATCTTTGAATAAATTTGTCTTCTTCTAGGGAGTGTAGTCAGTGACATCCTCATGAAGACCAATTTCATGTATTGAGAATGGTTGTAAATCCCCTTTTATATATAATTGTTTTCCTTCATAATAGTATTTTATGCATTGGTTTAAAAATGAAGGAGCCATCCTATGCTCATGATTCTATGGTCGACCTAGAAAGATGTTAAACAAAGTCTCATAATCAATGATATGAAATTTTGTAGTTATTACTAAATCGCCGATCTTCAGCAATAGCATAATTGATCCAAGAACTCTCTCTCATTTTTTATTAAAGCCTCCTAACATCATCTTATCAGTTCTTAACCTATGAGCATCCTAATGTTGGTAAATTCATTATATTATTGGATGCTCCTAGGTCCACTAATACTTCAGATAACATGAATTTATTCATATTGACTGAGATATACAGAAGACAATTATGATTAGCAGCACCAAGAAAAAGGTCTTCAACTGTGATAGTTAGTTTTGACTATTCCTTTAATGAACAAACCTCATCTAAGAAAGTACTAGCGAGCTGAGCTAAACAAATTTCTAGATCAAACAACACTTTGACTAGTGTCTCCCTCATTTTCTATGACAAGATCAGAGCATTGTAAATGCTCAACTTAGCAAATAACTTTCTAAGATGGGTTAGTACATCGTAGTCTACTATATTATTCAGTTCTCTAGTTTCTTATCGAACAGGTGCTTCTTCTATTGGTATAATTGATTTTTCTTGAGCAGCTACTTGTTTTGCTTTATTCTTTGGATCCATCCTTAAAGGTAAATATTTTTCACTTAAATTTACTTATGTTATCTCCTCCAATTCTTGAATTGAATCTGAAGGTATAGACTCTTCTAAAATTGCATATGAATCTGAGGATTCTAACTCAATTTCAATCGGCATAAGGAGAACTTTCTATCCTTGATTAGCAACTATCACGTAGGAAAACATTTATGACGACACAATCCACCACAGTCCCTAAATCACAAAGGCATGACTCTTGAAGAACATTCAAGAAGTTCTTCGCTTTTCTATTTTCTACTATCTACAATCCTTTCATGCTTATTTTAGGATTTTAGGACTTAGATCTTTTTTCAATCACAACCAGCTAGGTTGACAATATTAGTATATTAAAATTTTTTTTACATGAATAATTGTTAAACCTTTCCTCGTGGGATTGATACACGGATTCTTAAGCCACATATTACTTTACATGTATACTTTCATAGCACCTACTACTTACTTCATGTTAAGTTTTTAGAGATGATCTAATAATTGAGAGCCTAGAAAATTGGCGTCGTGAAGGTGGTGCGTAGGCACTAGAGATTGGGCACCCCCACACCAATATGGGCATCTAGATGCCAGAAGGTGAATAATTTGGGCCATTTTACCGACCGCATGGAAATCCAACAGTAAAATTGGAGAGCCAAGGTGCCATCGAGTAGTGTCTGGTAGTAGTGACACTGACACCGAGGCACTAGGATGAAAATGACACCCCGCCGCCACAATGGGTGAGTAGGTGCTAGAATGTAAAATTTGATAATTTTAGCAGTTATAAGCATCAGTTTGCTGGTAGAAAGTATTTAAGCAATGCAGACAAATGGAGGGGCATTTTCCTCATTTTTTTTATTATTTTGAAGCATGAGACATTAAGGAGGAAGACCAAAGAGGCCTCACAAGGAGTTTTTGTGTGGAGAAAGGAGATGTTTGAGAGGATTAAAAGTATATTAACTGCTTGTTTTTCTTTTCATCCGTCTGGCTTTGTAACAAAATGAGATAAGTACACTTTGGTTTGAATATTATTCGAATTTTTGTGAAAAACTTTGTGTATGATTTCTATGTTTAATTCAAAATTTTAGTGGAGGTTTTTATAATGAAGAGTGAGTAGATCCTTTATTTCTCCCTTTAAATTGAATGACGGAAAGATATAGTTGAAACTTTTTATGTGATTCACATGTAAATTGTCATAATAGTGTTGAGCTAACTGAATTGCTTCAATTACTTCCTACTTGGTCAATATGAATGTTGATATCGTTTATGAACAATACATATTGGAAAGAAAGAGTTTAACTACATAGACTTTTTGGAATATGAATATTGTCTTTTAGATTATGCTTATGTTAAGGGAGATGTCATTTATTTGAGACGATCAAGGGATTTAAGGAACTACACTCTTGATAGTCAAAATTTCCTTGAACCACTAGAAGGGGATAAGGAATAGACAAACTTCCGTTTGACACTAAATTTTAAGCGCTTGTCAATTATACCATTAGATCAGTTATATGAGGGAAACTTCTTGAAACTTGAATTTCTCACAAACTTTCCTTAGCTTTCTAGGATAGACTTGCTTAATCTAACTTTAGGATAAATATCTAATTGAAGTTGCTTATCAAACTTTTCAGGCTAGGACTAAGGTTAGTAGATTAATACTTTTTCGTAGTTGGGTTTACGTAGTTCCCAATTGGATTGACAACGAGACTCTAATTTGATACTACTGATACACCGCGTATACTTCAAGGAGTCGCCTGTGCTTCCTAGCACTTGGAGCGTGTCATTTGGCTTTGCCTTGAACTTAAATGAAAACCTTTTAATTATTGAAATCTTGATTCATACGTGTGAGTCATCATTATATCATTAAGCAAGGTTGGTGGTTTGGTTAATAGTAGCTCATGAAGCAATTCACTTTTGAGACTCAATACCAAGAAACTAAGGAAATTTCAAATAAAATAAGACTTTGAAGGCCAATTATTTGAATTTATTTTGATATTCTAATGCTAATCTTTTTTAAGTTAATATTGATAGATTTTCATGAACACCTTTATATAGAAAATTGCAAAAACATTGTTGTAAAGACTTCACGTAAGATTTTCAGGATATAGTTGAACTTTTGAATGTAGCCACCGCTACCTGATTGCTACTGGGCTGTCTAGATGAAAAAAAGCAATTCTTGTATGATAACATTTAAGAGAATTGTGAAATTCAAAATACTCTTTAACTTTAATAATCAAGACATTATTATCACTCCCAGTGAATCTTGACAATTCAATTTTTGTAATTTTAAGAAATGACGTGATCTCTACTACTGTTGTTTTGTTTATAATCGATGAAGGTAAGTTTGGACTGATGCTACCTTAATCTCCATAAATTTCTTGATTGACAATTGATGGAGCCCTGTTATATGATATATCCTCCAATCATTTATCCAAACCCATTATACAGAGTTGGAATTATTGTGAAGTTTGATTGATTGTTGGACATTGAGTATCTGAATTATTGATGGATTTTTGTAGAGTTACAACTTGTATTTTAGTGCTTTCAATGCTTTTGCCAAATTTGAGTAATTCATGGTTGAGAGAAGAATGCCAACAAAAACAACAATTGATACAATCCTTCTAGGCACAAAACACTAAAAAAATGGGATGTATCTTTCAGGCAGAACCGAGCTCTAGCATAAGGGAAAAAGAGGGGAGGATTCAAATATTTTCTTAGCCTTCTCAAGAATTGGGTTACAATATTATTTTATATATTCCCATAGCTTATGATATTTGGCATATAATTTAATACACAAATGCTTACAATATTTTCCAATACTATAGTTCTTCTAATGAAGCCTATATAGCTTCTATTTATAAAGTCTTATAGCCAAGATGGTTTGTTCTCATTTCTTGCTAATTTAGCTTCCCAGATATTTCTTCTATTTTCTCTTTAGCTTATGAGCATTCACGTGCTTCCTCTCCTTCATATGTAACCATTTCTCATATTCATCTTTTACTATTTTTGGTTCAAGAGTTATGAGTAAGTTCGTAATATTATCCAAAAAAAATTATTGTAGTTCTTGCATAAAATCTCATAAAATTAAGATTCATAAAAGCTAAATTTGCAGAAAAACACATGTCATACTACATAAAAATCTATTATTCTTTTTATTTTGCAAAACTACAAGTAAAGCATCACCTATTGGTGAAGCAACATTTAAAGGCTTTTAGTTTTCCATCATTATGTTAGTGATAATATTAAATTTCATTGTTTCATCAATTATTCTCATAAAATTTTTAATTTTATTAATTTTAATTCCCCATTTTAGCAAAATGTAATTACTTTTATATTGTTTATAATTTTATTGATTACCATGTACATCTTTTTCTTGAATTTATTGTTGAATTTTTGGCTACTTAATTTTATGTGAATTTAAAATTATTAGGATACTTGGTTACACTTATAAGGTCGATAAAATTTTCCCATTTTTAAAAATGTGTAATAAAAAATTATTGTTTTAATATTATATTATCAGGAAATAGAATAGTAGAATTGGGATATTAATTGAGTTTTAAAGGTTATTGAATCAAATATAAAATTCCAAGTTTTAAATATGTGATTTGAGGTGTTTTTAATGCTATTAATAAAAATCTTTATATATGTGCTATATATATATAGTGATTCA